AATCAGTAGTGGTACACGTACCCACACAGAACTGCTGATACTGCTGCTGTCTGCATCACCCTTCTTGTTGTTTGTGAGTTCAGGAGGAAGTGTTGTTGTTGTTGTGGTGGTGGTGGTGTCTGCATTTCCCACATCAGTGCTTTGGGTGCTTGTTGACTCACTCCCTTCAGAGGTAGTGCCACTCCCAGTGTTTGTATTTTCAGAATCATCGGTACTCTCTTTGTCTGAAGTGTTTGAAGAAGAAGGTTCTGTTTCTGCACCATCCGCTTTAGTTGGATTTGCATCCGCGTCACTTTTGCTGTTGCTTTCAGGTGGAGCTGCACTTGCAGGCGCACCAACATTTTCACCAGAAGGTGCAGGACCAGTAGCAGGATCAGCAACATTAGGAGTATGACGAGGATGTTCAGAAGAATCAGTATCAGTAGAGGGATGATGAGCACCATCTTCACTTTTTGTACCGGGGGAATCAGCACTTACAGACCCACTTACACCACGAGCACCCTGAGGATCTTCTCCAACACGGTTATCTCCTCTTATTTGAGTGAGAACCGGTTGAGTTTGTGGACAATTATCACCAGAAGTATCAGTACAATCGCTTTGAGTCTGAAGATCCTTAGCAGTGCAATCTTTCTTCTCAGGAGATGGTGCACAATCAGTAGGAGAAGCTTGAGTTGCAAGAGGGGAAGTAGTACACGTAGTGCCAGTAGTACCTTGAGAACAGGCTTCACCTTCACCATTAGCTTGTTTTGTATTTGGCGGTTGTTCACCAGGAGGAGGTGGAGGCGCTGCAGTTTCACCAGCCGCCACCACAAACACGCATTGAAGACAGAGAAGCAAAGCCAGAAGATACAATACACCTCGCATCATCACGGCAAACATAACTTTTTCTGGGTTTACTGATATTAACCAAGGACCAAAAAAAGAGAAATATGGGGAAAAGAGAATAAGTTAACACAAAGGAAACAAGAATACATATACACAAAAGAGAGAAAACAACGAAACCAAAAGTCACAAAAAAAAATATTCAAATAGAGGTAACAATAATAAAACTATAAAACGTCATCTCACACAATACCCAAGAAAAGCAAAGAAAAAACAAAAACAAAGTAATAACAGAAACAAGGGCATCATCAAACACATAGCACTGAAAATCATGGCTATGATTGAGTTAAAGTGCAACTACGAATATAAATGTATCTTCCATTATTTGTATTCTCTCTGCATAAATCGTATCAACAAAAGGGTGCAGGGCAAAACACACAACCACCGAAGCAAACCATAAGCAAACAAAGAAACGGATATTAACTATGAGCTTAATTTACAAAGTAAACATAGAAATATACACCAAATATGGGTACAAGTCTATATATATGTGTGTATACGCAATTATAAATTCTTCTGTTATTATCATTTCATTTTTCCTCTCACTGCGAAAAGCAGTTCATCATCATTACAGTGCAAGCCCAGGTGCACACACAGAGAGTCTCCAAGAAAACACACACACACACAATGGAGTAGTAGCAATAATTATTATAGGATAAACACCGATTGAAGCAAAAACACACACAAAACACATTAACATTAAGAAACAAAAAAAAGAAGATAATCCCAACAGGTGGAAGATGAGTTAGACTGTAGTGTGGATACACGCAAAAAAGAAAACAAAGGATGACCTGAGTCACCCCACCACACCACCATCACAATCAGCACACAAGACTACAGGCCAGTGTAACCACAATCAGTAGAGGTACACGCACCCACACAGAACTGCTGATACTGCTGCTGCTGTCTGCATCACCCTTCTTGTTGTTTGC